AAGAAAGTTTGCTATAAATTAAATTAAAGCACCTGAAACCAATTCAAGCACCTGAAGCCAGTCACATGGTAAAAAACCCCAGCTTCGATCAGACAGGAGGAGGAGTTGAAGCAGAGTGGATTGGTGTTGGAGCAGAGAGCAGTTTGGAGGGAAACAGAGGAGAGTTTGGAGAAGTGCTGCGGTGGGCTAAGAAGACCAAGACCCTAGGTAAAGGGAAACCTGGTTTGTGAAGAGGGAGGGCAGGAAGCCCCACAAGCTGAAGGGCAGGAGAGGGAAGTAGCCTAGGGGAAGGATCCGCTAGTTCTAGTGGTTTACTGCTATCTGTAGGGCCCCTGGGCTGGGACCTGAAGTAGAGGGCGGGCCTGGGTCCCTCCCTCTCCACTCCCCTCCTCTAGGACACTAGTGGGGCAGTTGATACCCCAGTTCAGGGGCAAGAAACGGTGCCCTGAACCCCCACCCAAGAAGAGAAAGCGCGAGACCCATCATAGTAGTGCCAGCAATTTGCCATTATATATCTATCTATCTTACTATATGTTCCATTCTATGCATCCGATGAAGTGGGCTGTAGCCACGAAAGCTTATGCTCAAATAAACTTGTTAGTCTCTAAGGTGCCACAAGTACTCCTGTTCTTTTTGAAAAGATAGTTTTCTGAGGACTCAGAAGACCATTATTCCAGAAAAGAATGACAAGGCTGTAGAGAACAATTCTAGAGCGATCAGCGCAACATTGGTAGATGGAAAAAGCCCAGAAAAGATTTATGCAGAGCCTATAGTAGTTGGGAAACACTTTCAAAAGCGCAGTTTAATTAGAGACAGCCAGCATGGATTTAAAAGAGGGAAAGTTTGTTTTAACTAACAACATACTGAGGTCCTTCAAGTATTACTGACAAACCTACATGGACTATCTGGACATTTTGCCTGGGCACATAGGAGTGGGGTTGTTCATTTGCAGATGTGATTCAAAGAGCAAGTGAGCAAGGAGTGAAAAGAGTAGTCAATATCCTGTGTTGGTAGTGATGGAGCATATCTAAAACACAAAGACATGTGGAAGGCAGCTATGGTGTAAAAAACCTAGAGGTGAGTGACAGATGACAGCAAAGTAAATACAAACTTGCCAGTGTAACATGGTGGCAAAAATCTCTTGCCACAAATCTGAAATGAGGCTGTATATTCTGCAGGGCTATAACAAAAAAATGAATGGAGTAGAAAAGAATACAAATATCAGGAAGTGATACTGGTGCTGTACAAGATGCTGGTGAGATGCTAACTAGAACACTGCACTCAATCAGTCTGAATATTGGCAATTTGGTCCTTTGCTTTTAACTTCATTAGTTTGGGCTGGATTATTCCCTCACACTAAATGACTGTGCAAGGTAGTAGGGCTCCCACCGTGTAACCCTCTGCAAGGCTACGTTAACCTTGCCTGGCTTATGGGTCTGGGCTTGACAGGACAGATCAGGAGCCATGCATGCAATACTCCCACTGCAAGAAATTGGGCGGGCAGGGGGGAAATGGCTGGGCACGTTGGGGGAAGTATACTGAACCCTTAATAGGGCTGTAGCAAAGCACTCCCACCAGAACAAGAAGGGAGCAGGGGAAAAATTATGCCTCTGAAGCCTTATTTACACAAACATTTAGTCCATGGCAAGCTGCGGTGTGACTTTACCCCACACTAGCCTGCTGCATACTAACTTCCCATATGAATCCTGCTGATGTGCTCTTTGTTCCACTTGGCTTTGACGCAGAGGTGCACTAAGGAACTCTTAGCATGCATCAGCAAGGTTCACAAAGACTCTTACTATGGGGTACATTTACACCCCAGCTTGCCGCAAACTGAATGTTTGTGTCGACAAGCTCTGAGACACAATTCCTCCCTGGAGATCCTACCGGAGTGGCTTAGCTACACATAGCTCCTCACACAGGCTCTGGCTTAAAGGTTCACTCTGGCTCTTAGTTTAAAGGCAGGATATTAATGTTAGACTGTTGCGCTAGTTTAAATATGGCTTCACTAGCCACTTACAAAACGGGTTAGAATAATTCTCTCTAGCTTATATTCAATACCTCTATTTACCTAGTCAACACTTTAGGATTTGCTCTTTTCCTACTCTCCTTCAGCACTCTGCTAATTATTCAAAGAGCTGGGCCCTCCACTTCCCCTTCCCTGCTCACTGTTTTTCAGTGCAGCATTTTGCTAATACTTCTCATCTCTCTTTGGCCACTTCCTTCAGAATTCTGGATCCCTCTTGGCCCTAGAACTGTGTTATGGGTCAGCTGTTTTAATTTACTTATCACATAACAGATAAGGCTCTGATTTCCTTCAGTATTTCTTCTTCCTCTGCAGAGATTTATGCCTCTGGTCTCTTCTACGAATATTGAGGCAAACAATGGATTTAATTTTTACATTTTTTACAGCCATTTATGCTAATTCTGTCAATAATCCATCTTCGCTATCTCCGAGATTGCAATGTCTCACTTAATGACCTCTTGTTGCATGTGCTTGAAAAAGGTCTTTCCATTTATTGTAATCTCCTATGTAATCTTCCTTTCACTCTCCACCTTTTGGTTTTCTCTCCTTTTTTTTTAAACTCTCATGAGCTGTAAAGGGCTGAGTTTTAATGGATCTGTCAGGAATGACTGAAAAATGGGTCTCTGAGCAGACTAAAATCTATGGGAAAGATTATGCACGGACGTGTAACAATGTATGTGTATAGTTCTGTCAAGAATTACCCTATGTAACGCATGCAAAGTACTATACACATTCAATTATTTTAGCTTCAACCAAGACAGAATTTAGTAATGTACTAAAGTTTCTTTGGTACTTTTACAATCTGTTTGGATTGGCACCATGTGCCGAAATAGAATAAAGTTACACAGCTCTCCAAGTAACAGGAGCTGATCAAATCAATTTTAAGATCCTGGGTGTGAGTCATTGCTGTGCTACTCTAGTTTTATCCTGGTGAAATGGAGTCCAGACAATGTCAAACTGAAGTAACTCAGTGACGATCAAGGCCTTCTATGTCCACTTGTGCCTCAAAGCTCAAATGGAAAATACATACAAAAATGAGGAGAGAGAGGATGGTTATATGAATGATAGCCACCTTTCAGAGGAACAAAAAGTGTTGCATGGCGATGTGGCATTGAAAAGGAAATTTTTTTTTTTTTTTTTTACATTCTGCAAGGTAATGGTAGGCCGTGGGACACACCTGTGAAAATCGGCATTCTGTCAGGTAGTTTAGGATGGGTGTTAGTCCTACTGTTTGCTCCTCAACTCTGGGGAATTCAGAACCACGAACTCCCTTCCAACAACTTAGTAAATGATATCCAAGAAAAATCTTACATCCTTAGGCTATGCCTACACTGTGAGGTAAGAGTGTGAATCTCAGCTCACGTACACAGACTCACGCGAGCTCATCTGAACTAACGAGTATAAATAGGAGTGTAGGCAGGGCAGTCTGGGCGGCGGCCCAGCTAAGCCGTGCCGACTACATACCTACAGGGTTCAGGCAGGTTTGCGCTTGGCATGGCTAATCTGTGCTACTGCTGCTGGCCGTACTATCAGGGCTAAGCTGCTACTTACACTTGCAGTAGCTCGATATTTATGTGTAAGGAACTGGAAATCACATCCCTAGCTCATCGTGTAGATGAAGCCTTACCCAGAAGTCTGTTCAATCTTGTATAGGTTAGGTGCACATTCTCATTAGAATAAATACAGACATAAACGAGATGCTTTGTGGAGGCTGAAGTTCCCCAATACCGTCATGATTTCCGGTTGATCGTACACAGCAGCGTAGGATATGAATGACTGAACTGCTTCAGCGCAGTGCAAACCTATGGAACCCTTTTTTAAAAAGGGGACTCAATTTAATACAGCCCAATGTATTTTTGTGAAGCAAAGCCCAGTTACAATGAAGAATTGTTTGATGTAGAGTTATTTAAATGGACACATCTTTTTTTAAATGGAGCCTTCACCAGCTGTTCCGGCCTTTTATTACAAATGCAGAAGGAACATAATTCACCACCCTAGCACATAAAATCTGAAATAGAAGTGATTTAGATGCATGTGTGCGTTCTTTATACACCTGGTATGTTTTCCTCACATTTCAAACACAAATCAGTGGGAAAACTTGTCTCTCCTGTTATAATAAACTCTGTGATATAGTGAATTTTCTCCCCTCAGAGCAAGCAGAAATTGACGATCAGAGGTTTGCATTTTACTAGGACAATTATGGGCCTATTGCTGTTCTGGAGGAATTACATTTTTCTCACTCTGAAATTTTGTGGTGCCATTTACCTCCAGTGACTGGAAATGAGCCTTTGCTCCAATTCCTTTCCTCATGCTGGGGCCAGACATGCATCTGGGGCACATTGTCAAGAGTGCTGTGTGTAGTGGCGATGGAATGATGGGGTGTCATCCCATTCAAGAGCTCTGCCCCTCCCAAAATAGGTCACGTAACCTCCCCAGGAACTGCACAGGCACCTGCAGTTGTAACATTAACATATTCCTCAGTAAAAAGAACAGGAGGACTTGTGGCACCTTAGACTAACAAATTCATTTGAGCATTAGCTTTCGTGAGCTACAGCTCACTTTTCTTTTTGCGGATACAGACTAACACAGCTGCTACTCTGAAACATGTTCCTCAGTGTAACATATAGGGCAACACCATAATTGCAGCTACGAAATGAACCATAAAGCATCAGTTTCTGATGCAAATTCTTGCAGCATAATGGGAAGGAAAGGGTGAATGGCTGTATCTGACACCCCCTACGTTCAACACAAAGTCTATGCTAACCCCAACCCCTCATTGATTTGTCTTTATCCATCTGTTGTCTCTTGTCTTATACTTAGATTGGAAGCTCTGTGATACAGGGACCATCTTTTTGACCTCTGTTTGTACAGCACCTAGCACAATGGAATAATGGTTCATGACTAGGGCTCCTAAGAGCTGCAGTAATACAAAATAAATAATAGCAATAACTCACAGAAACATCTTAGGGCCTACCTGTGTTGTAACCCCTCCCAAGAGCTGGCCAGGGACGATGATTCTTCCAAAGGTTGCCCAGATACCAGTCACTCTGGTTCTCCACTAAGCCAAGAACCTGCTGGCCTGAAAACAAGCAACATGCAAACAGATCATTAAACAAAAGACAATTAGTTTATGGGAATCAAATACAAAACCTGGAGTAGGGCAGGCAGTGGAAACAGAGCCCAGCAGTTCTGATGCTCCCTTCTTTCACATGTTATGAAGATGGGTAATCACCTAACTAAAAACAGGAACATCCTAGTAGTGCAAGCTCATCATGGCTCATTTCTCTCCTTTCTCTCCTGGCTAGTCTGAGTAGCTAAACACTATGGAAATCTTTGTCACACTGACAAAATTATATATCAACCAGGCAAATCTAAATGCTGCCTGATTTTGGCATACCGTGCTGGAGAATCCTTCCTATGAGAGACAGGATTAGTACCAGGATACTCTAATATGATGGTCTGTTTATACTTTGATGATAATTTAATTGGAAAATGGGTCTGATATAGAAAATTATTTCCTCTTGCCATTTTTTCCCCTTTAATTTCAGCATTTTCTCTGGCAGAGCAACAGAGGAAATTCCTTTTGCTCTAGCAAATGATGGTTTTGAAGGTTTTAGCTAAAAGAGAAAGTTGCACAGATTTAACTGAGGGCTTGTCTCCACGATGGGGTAATGCACACTCCGGGGGTGTGATTTCTAAAGCACACTAATGTGCCGAGAATTCACTGGTCTGCACAGACCCTGCTGGTGCGCACTTAAAGTACTCTAGTGCACTTTAACATAGTACCATTTGAAACAGTACTGTGTGAAAGTGGACTTCACTAGGGAACTTTTAGTGCACACCAACAGGGTGTACATGGATCATTAATGTGCCCTGAGAAATGCTGTATAAAATGGGAGTAAGAAAAGTGACTAACAGCTCTTTTGGAAGGAGGGGGAAATTTAATTGTAACCAGGAAAAGAAAAGGGTGACAATGTTTCAGGGTATGTCTGCACTATAGCTGGGAGATGCAACTCACAGCACTAGCTCAGCTAATAAAGAGCAGTGTGGATACTGGGGCACAGGTGGTGGCTTGGGATAGCCACCTGACTCCTAGCCTGCCTGACCCCTTGGGTCTGGGCTCAGGTGGCTAGCTTGAGCTGCCACCTGTGCCACAATGTCCAGACTGCTATTTTCAATGGAATAGCTCAAGCTAGCACGAGTCTGCTGCCCACACTGGGAATCACACCTCCCAGCTGCAATGCAGACATACCCTCAGTGGATAGGCCCCCTCAGGGAGATTGTGGTGGACAACAGCTGAATGACTGAGACTGGAAACTATATTACCACCTTTTCTAGATACTATATAAACACCATGCTCTGAAAGGTGAGAACATGGTTTCAAACCTCAAGTCCCAACTACCCTAGCAAAACTGTCATGTTGCCAGTTACAATACACTAGTACCCAGAGATTGGTCAAACATGACATAGCTAGTATGGGACCAAATCAGCATCACCAAAAGGTGTTGGAGCCAGATGAAGACACTGTTTTGAGGGAAGAAATGGTGAGCAGCATGATTCATTAAAATTCATAAACACATGGGATGAAGCCCGTTCAGATTAGGTGATCACAATGGTCCCTTCTGGCCTCATAATCTATAAAACACTGATATCTAGAGTAGTGCATGTGAGGTTTTTTTCCAGACCATCTTATAAGGGGTGGCTTGGAATAATAAAATTAATAATAATATTATATTATATAACAAAACAAAAATGTATATTATGGGAACATTGTATTAATCATGACATGGTTTGTCATCACCTTGACCAATCTACTTGTGTCAGGGTTCCCTCCCCACTCTGAAACTCTAGGGTACAGATGAGGGGTCCCGCATGAAAGACCCCCTAAGCTTATTTTTACCAGCTTAGGTTAAACTTTCCCAAGGCACAAATTTCACCTTTTTCCTTGAACAATATGCTGCCACCACCAAGTGATTTAGACAAAGAACAGGGAAAGGACCACTTGGAGTTCCTATTTCCCCAAAATATCCCCCCCCCCAAGCCCTTACACCCCCTTTCTTGGGGAGGCTTGAGAATAAGCAAGATGAGCAGAAACCAGCCTTGGATTTTTAAGACCCAAAAAACCCAATTAGATTCTTAAACACAACTTTATTAGAAGAACAAAAAAAGATAAGAGAACAACTCTGTAAGATCAGAATGGAAGATAATCTTACAGGCAGCCAGATTCAAAACATAGAGAATCCCTCTAGGCAAAACCTTAAGTTGCAAAAAGACACATTTCCTCCAGCACAGCGAATTTCACAAGCCAAAAGAGAGAGAACCTAACACATTTTCTAGCTAGGATTTCTTACTAACTTTACAGGAGTTGGAGGGCTTGCATCCTTGATCTGTTCCCGGCAAAGGTATCCCGCAGACAGACACAAGCCTTCCCCCCCCTCCAGATTTGAAAGTATCTTGTCCCCTCATTGGTCATTTTGGGTCAGGTGCCAGCCAGGTTAACTGAGCTTCTTAACCCTTTACAGGTAAAAAGACTTTGCCTCTGGCCAGGAGGGATTTTGTAGCACTGTATACAGAAAGGTGGTTACCCTTCCCTTTATATTTATGACAACTTGTGTGGTCTTTCTTTTTCCATTCCTGTTTGTTCATCTTTTTAGAATGTGAGCAATTTCTGGCAAGGACCATTTCTTCTTCAAAGGCAGTACATCAAGGATGCTACTGAAAGTTAATAATAATAGTTCTGTGAGGAGGGCATGGCAAGTCAGAGGAGGAGGTCAAAGCAGATGTGTATGGTTTAGAGGTTGAGTGAAAAGACAAGCACTGTCTCCTTTCAAAAGAAAAAAAATCCATCTGGAGGACTACATGGCTAACACCTGTTGATTCAGGGCTGGAAGGCTAACTGTTCCTTATAAACACCACTCCATTAGAGACAGAGTAGAGTAAATCAAAAGAGAAAACTATTAGTAAAGGATGAGAAAACCAGAGAAGAAAATTCAGGGACAGCCCAACTGGAACTGAATGTCACAGGTGATAAGAACAGAGTGACCCTGCCCATATTCTAAAAGTGCATTTCACAACTCAGCAGTTAGCAGATGCTGCTCAGGATTGTACTTCTCACATAAAAAGAAATGCTAGAATCCCATTTGAAATAAACAGATATTTAAATTCCTCTCCATGGAACATCAGTCTGCTTTCATTATTTTATCCCTATGCATTACCAAACACAAGTCACAGGGTTCAGTGTTCAAACTGATTTATAATAGGTAATGCACAAACCTTGTTGCTGGTTAATGGATTTGCTCTCCCACCTACTGATCCCAACTCTCTATTTTGAAAGATATTCTTATCCCTCAGCTAGTTTGTCCCCAGACAAAGAGAGAGGGGAAGGCTTAGAAAATAATCTTTGGTTGTATCCATTTATTTAAATTTATTTATTTATTTAATTTTCCACTCAAAATAAGGGGAGAACATGAAAAAAAGACTAAATGAACAGGAAGGGATCCAGAGAGGGAAAAGAAGAGCAACAGGTTGGTTTCCAGCTGCTAGGAATTAAAATTTTCTAAAAAGTTAAATCAAATCTTTTCCTGTGTCTGAAGTTCCTCTTCCCCTAAACATTATCTGCTCTTTAGCTGCCAGATAAGCCAAGTTGCTGTGCCAAACATCTATCCCTGGAGGCAATTCTGCTATTCCACCTAAGCAATATGAGTCATTTAGCTATAAGCACTGCTTTAGAGAACTAAGTTCTCAGTGGGTTGGAGTGTTTTCAAGATGACAGGATATATCCCAAAACACAGTTCTGGGAAGTAATTTTTAAGGTGGTATCCATTATCATATTAATCCTCCTGCCTACTTCTAGCCAAAAGGATTGTATGATCCTGGGACAGCCCCAACACATGTGAGCCAGTGTGGCTCCAGGAGACCAACATCTCCAGGAGCAGTCTGTTTTGGAAAGGCTCATGCAGTGTTATCTTATGTGGGGACCAGTGTGAACAAAATATAATTTTCTGCTGGATCAGCCTTACTCGTAGATCAATAGTAGAAAGTTAAATGTTTTGCAAGGCATTTCCCCATTGGCTAGGGGTCAGAGATATACATACAACTTTGTTCCAGGCTTGGCACAGGCAATCTACATTAGGGAGGGTCTTTGGGGACAGAAAGTCATAACAGGCTACAGCTAGCTGTAGAGCCCTCTCCTACCAAACAGCAAATCTGGAGTCTTTGGTGCTCCCAGCCTATCCGGACCAACTATGCCCTCCAAGAGGTGATTAAGCTGCAGGTCATGCCATGCCGCTGGACCAGGTAGGTTGTATAGTTATTGGAATGTTTGGAATAGCAGAAACTGATTCTCTGAGATCAACTAGGAGACCTAAATTACTCCCTTATTCACCCGCTCTTTCCACATTAATGATTTCTCATCAATTTTCAAAAATGGGCCACACCAAAGTACAGCATCAATGTGTGACCAGGGATAGAATTAAAAATTTCTAGCAAACCTGGCCCTTGTTTGTCTGGTAGCCTACACTGGAGGGGACATTTTACGATCAAAACAGTAATAGGCTGAAACCAGTCTTCCTGCCAGCGGAGGGAATGGATCAACTCTCATTCCACCAGCAGCCAGGGAGGGATCTGCTCCATTATGTTGTGGAGAGACAGAGCTGCCTGGCTAAAGATAAGAACTGTATGATAATGCTGCCAGTTGGGGAAATGGAAGCCCAGATGTGGCTGGGAGTTGCAATCTACACAAAGCCAGTCTTGGCCTCCCACCCACTCCCCAGATAAATATTTTAAAAATTCCTTTAATTTTCCTAAGATAAAACTGAGGAATAATAACTGGGAGACAACTTCAGATATACAGTATTCAGGGAAACACATTTAATTTGATATTGATTTTTGCCCCAAAGGTTAACGGTAAGGATTCTCAGTCTGCCTAAATCTCTCACTACCTGGGTTAAAATAAACTCTAGATTAATTTTGACCCAATTTTCCCTCTAATTGGGGATGAGTATCCCTAAATATTTAATATGTTTGACTTGCTACTTAAAATAATAAAATATTTGGTTGTATTCTTTTATTTCAGAGTAA